AGGTTCCGGTACTCCAGGTTTCTGAAACGGCAAAATGTAAGTTTCGTTTAACGAAACTTCTTATATTTTTATTTTTTTTTTAATTAAGAAACGTTCTAACGTTTCTTTTACTTTTTTTTTGTAGGTCTAGGAGAACGCCAAGTTTCAGCATGAATATTCATTAATGGCCAAAACGGAAATGTAAGTTTCGTTTTAACGAAACTTATATTATAGTTTTTTTTAATTAAGAAACGTTCTATAACGTTTCTTTTACTTTTTTTTGTAGGTTCGGTGGTCCCGGTGCTCCAGGATTTCCGAAATGGAAAATGTAAGTTTCGTTTTAACGAAACTTATTATATTATATTTTTTTTAATTAAGAAACGTTCTATAACGTTTCTTTTACTTTTTTTTGTAGGTTCGGTGGTTCTGGTGCTCCAGGATTTCCGAAACAGAAAATGTAAGTTTCGTTTTAACAAAACTTATTATATTATATTTTTTTTAATTAAGAAACGTTCTAACGTTTCTTTTACTTTTTTTTTGTAGGTTCCGGTACTCCAAGATTCCGAAATGTCAACATGTAAGTTTCGTTTTAATGAAACTTAAAATATTTTATTTTTTTTTTAATTAAGAAACGTTCTCTAACGTTTCTTCTACTTTTTTTGTAGGTTCTGATGCTCCAGGATTCCGAAACGGAAAAATGTAAGTTTTGTTTCATCAACGAAACTTATCTTTTTTGTTTTTTTTAATTAAGAAACGTTCTAACATTTCTTTTACTTTTTCATTTCTTGTAGGTCTCCAATTCGGGTATCATTGGAAAGTGAAAATGGTAAGTTTTGCAACGAAACTTACCATGTTTTTTTTTATTATTATTAAAAACGTTTTTTAACGTTTCTTTTCTATTTTTTTTTTGTAGGTTCGAGCGAGATACTTGACTTTGGTAAGTTTCGCAACAAAAAAAATGTTGCGAAACTTCAGTTTGTTTTTTAAAGAAATGTTTTATTAACATTTCTTTATTCTCTTTTGTAGGTCCCTCCCCTCCAGATTCGAACTTGGGTTTGGATAACATGTAGGTTTCGAAGTATAACTTCGAAACTTCAGTTTAAATGGTGAGTTTCATGACAAATATCATGAAACTTAAATTTTTTTTTATTAGGACCGTTTACTAACGTTCCTTTTCTTTTTTGTAGGTTCAGGGATATCTGGGAAGCTAACTTAGGAAACGTGAATCTCGTAAAACCATTGTTGAATATAAGCCATTACTTTACGTTCAGGTATTGGATATGGCTTCTGAAATGGTAAGTTTCGTATGTTTCGTTACGAAACTTCTGTTTTATCTTTAAGAAACATTCTAACTGAATGGTTTTCTTTTTTTGTAGATTATTGTAACAAGTTAGATTGTTTTTTGGCTCCTTGCTTGGTGAGTTTCGAAGATTAACCTTTGAAACTTTTTGTTTTTTTTTGATATTTGTTTTCTTTAACATTATTGATGTACTTAATTACAAGGTATAATTGAATAATTAGATAAATTGTTAATAAAATTAGAATCAATAAATTGTATAAAATTACACAAAATTGTTGCTTAATTATTACTCAATTGTCAGAAATTGTCTTAAAAATATTACATTTACACTCAATTGTCCAAAAATTGTCAAACAATTGTCACTCAATTGTCTAAAATTGCTAAAAATTTTCTAGCATTTGAAAGTTAAATTTTGGTAAAATGGTCCATTTTTCCAAAATTTGACAAAAAAATGCACAATTTACCAGAATTTTCCCGGTAAATTGTGCAACAATGGAAAGTTTTTATTTCAAATTTGCAATTTACGTATCATTACAAAAAATTCATCACAATTTACATAACATTGGCCTAATATTGCTAAAAATTCACCACAATTTGCACTTCGTTTACATAGTATTAA